CTAGTTTTGGGGTGGGGCACACCCCTAAAAATCAAGCTAGGCCGGGGGTATGTGGAGCTGCCCCATGCGCCCAGCACCCGCTTACCTGGCAGCCAGGCCTCTCCTCACCGGCCCACTTCTTCTTCTGAGGCCTTTTCTGCAGCCAGGCCTGAATTTCTCACTCACAGGCTTTTCCGGAAGGCCTTTGTAGCCAAGAACCAAGCTATGGGTTCAATCCGTAGCTCGGTTCTGCAAGACTCAGCAGCCGAACAACGAGCTATGGATTGAATCCATAGCTCGATTCTCAGCTGCTTAGGCCTTCCGGAAAGGCCTGACTGCAAAATGCAGGCCCGAATGCAGCTGCAGAACTTCGGCCCCAGAAGAAGTGGACCAGCTGGGTGGGGCTGTCGGTGCCGGAGGTGAGGCAAGGCCTACCCCGAAAATAAGACCTGGTGCTTCTTTTGGAGGCAAAAAAAAATAATAAATAAAAATAAAATAAGACCCGGTCTTATTTTCAGGGAAACATAGCAGTACCGCTTTATAAAACCCTAGGGCAGGGGTAGGCAACCTTGGCTCTTTTATGACTCGTGGACTTCAACTCCCAGAATTCCTGAGCCAGCATGGCTCAGCTTGGAAACCTCTCCCTTTTCCCTCAGCATGGCTGGCTCAGGAATTCTGGGAGTTGAAGTCCACGAGTCATAAAAGAGCCAAGGTTGCCTACCCCTGCCCTAGGGAGACCACATCTGGAATACTGCAGCCAATTTTGGTCACCATACTACAAAAAAGATGTTGAGAGTTTGGAAAAAGTGCAGAGAAGAGCAACTAAGATGATCCAAGGCCTGGAGGCTAAAACATACGAAGAACAGTTGCAGGACTTGGGTTTGGCTAGTCTAAAGAAAACAAGGAACAAGGGAGACATGATAGCCGTACTCCAGTATTTGAGGGGCTGCCCCAAAGAAGAGGGGGTCAAATTATTCTCCAAAGCACCAGAGGGCAGGAGAAGAAACAATGGTTGGAAATTGAACAAAGAGAGAAGCAACCTGGAATTAAGGAGAAACTTCCCGACAGGGAGGACAATTAACCAGTGGAACAGCTTGCCACCAGAAATTGTGGACGCTCCATCAGTGGAGGCTTTTAAGAAGAGACTGGACAGTCATCTGTCTGAAATGGTATAGGTTCTCCTGCTTGAGTGGGTGGCTGGACTAGAAGACCTCCAAGGTCCCTTCCAGATCTATTCTCTTCTAGTGCCATTTGTTTAGGGACCGTCTGAAGTTACAACAGCACTCAAAAAAGGACCATTATTCATACTTAACGACCCTTGCAACACCCCCCCATGGTCAAGTGATTCAAATTCGGATGCTGGGCGACAGGCTCGTATTTATGACCGCCGCAGTGTCATGTGATCACCTTTTATCGATGAGCAAAGTCAGGGCGAAAATCAGATTTATTTAACAATTGTTAAATTGCCAACACTTGGAAACCGGTTCTGGACTTTGTGCTTGAGGTGGGGGAAAAAAAGATGGAGCTTTGATTTTGGGTTTGGCCGATTAGATAAGCTCGCTGTGACAAAAACGGCTCGTTTATATTATTATTTCCCTCCCTTGTTTTCCTATTTTTTTCTTTTCTATTTTCTGTTATATTTGGACCAGCTAACAAAATTCTGAGTGAGAATCGTGTTGCTAACTTAACAACTGCAGGGATTCGTTTAACGACTGTGACGAGAAAGGCCGCAAAACGGGGCGCTTCGCAACCGTTTCACTTAGCGGCAGAAATCTGGGGCTCGGTTGTCGTCGTAAGTCGAGGGCTACTTGCACGTCGCTGAGTGAGACGCGGAGGGAGAAGAAACGCAAGGAATGCTCGACTTGCGCTGAATTTATGGTGCTAAATGAGAAGCTGGTTAAGGGAGTTTTTGCCCCATTTTACGACTTTCCCTGCCCCGTTTATTAAGCGAATCGGAGCAATTGTTAAGTTCGTCACCCGGTCGTTAAGCGAATCCAGCTTCCCCCGTTGAGTTTGCTTGTGGGAAGACCGCCAAAAGGGGATCACGTGGCCCCCCTCAGCATACCGCAAACCGTCGTAAATCTGAGCCTGTGGCCGAGGGTCCGAATTTGGATGCTGCAACAGTCGTTAAGTGGGACACACACATTTTTTCCATGCCGTTGTGACTTGGAACGGTCACTAAATGAACTGTGTTGTTAAGTGGAGGATGACCTGGACATCCCTGAGCGAGAGAAGCAGAGGGGAAAAAAGAAAACATTATGCAAGATTTTGGGAGCCTTGAGCAAGGAGAGGTGAAGGAGAAAAACAGCGCCGGACACAATCCGGTCAGGATCAACATCCAAAGCCTCAAAAGATCAGGTTGCTAGGGGCGTCGGAGACCCGGAGGGTGTTTTGTGTGTTTAGTGGACACTCCGTCCCGGTCACACGCTCTGCTGCTGGTCAGCTGCTGGTCCCGCTGGGCCATCTGTTCCCAGGAACACAGGGGCATCTTTCCAGAAAGAGGCAAAAAACAGGCCAGGTGATCCTGCGGCCACCAGCTGTGACCAAGGGGAAGGGCCGGTCAAGTCAGTCAGGCCCAGTGGCACCTCGCTCTGTTTCTCCCCCACCCGACACACACACACATGGCTGGGCTGGCAAGGCTGCTGGGGTGCAGAGGCTTTGGGAGATGTTGGCTCCATGGCCCCTTCCAGCTCCTATTCTATTTCTATTCTATTTTCTATTCTATTCTCTATTCTCTATTCTCTATTCTCTATTCTCTTCTATTCCATTCCATTCTACTCTACTCTACTCTACTCCACTCTATTCTATCCTATTTGCTATTCTATTCTATTCTTTTTGCTATTCTATTCTATTCTTCTTCATTCTATTCTATACTATTTCTTTATTCTATTCTATTCTATTCATTATTCTATTCTATTCTATTCTATTCCATTCATTATTCTATTCTATACTATTTCCTTATTCTGTTCTATTCTATTCTATTCATTATTCTATTCTATTCTATTCCATTCCATTCCATTCATTATTCTATTCTATTCTACTTTTTGCTATTCTATTCTATTCTATTCTATTCTATTCTATTCTATTCTATTCTATTCCATTCCATTCTATTCTATTCTATTCCATTCCATTCATTATTCTATTCTATTCTATTCTATTCTTTTTTGCTTCTATTCTATTCTATTCTATTCTATTCTATTCCATTCCATTCATTATTCTATTCTATTCTACTTTTTGCTATTCTATTCTATTCTATTCTATTCTATTCTATTCTATTCTATTCTATTCTATTCTATTCTATTCCATTCATTATTCTATTCTATACTATTTCCTTATTCTGTTCTATTCTATTCTATTCTATTCTATTCTATTCTATTCTATTCTATTCTATTCTATTCTATTCTATTCTATTCTATTCCATTCCATTCATTATTCTATTCTATTCTATTCTATTCTTTTTTGCTTCTATTCTATTCTATTCTATTCTATTCTATTCTATTCTATTCATTATTCTATTCTATTCTATTCATTATTCTATTCTATACTATTTCCTTATTCTATTCATTATTCTATTCTATTCTTTTTTCTATTCTATTCTATTCATGATTCTATTTTATTCTATTCTATTCTATTCTACTCTACTCTATTCTGTATTTCCATTCTGTTCTATCCTTTCCTATTCTCTATTCTATTCTATCCTATTCTCTATTCTATCCTATTCTATTCTGTATCTCTATTCTATATTCTGTATCTCTATTCTGTTCTATTCTCTTCTCTCTTCTCTTTTCTATTGTATTCCATTCCATTCTTTATTCTATTTTCTATTATTTTCTACTCTACTCTACTCTACTCTACTCTACTCTATTCATTTAAAATTTCATTTTAAAACCGATTTCATTTTAAATTGTATTTTATTTCTATTTTATCCCAAATTATATTTTAACTAACTCCATTCTAAATTGTTTTTACTGCATTTTAGTATAACGTGTGTTTGGGACTCTGCACTTTGATATGGCCCATGGGCTAATCAATAAAGATTCTTATTCAAATTCCTTCCCTTCAGTCCCGTTTCTGGCCAGTTGTTGCTTCAAATCACACTTTCGAAACCCCCCGACATTCGAACCCGAGGCATCTGGCAGGCACGTGGCTGCGGGGAGTCCCTCCACCGAAAACACAAAACAGGTTGCCCAAGATGGTGGTTTCTTGTTACAAAAACAAGCCTGAGGCTTTCGCATGAGAAATAACAGGCGGATAAGGGAAGGGACCTTGGAGATCTTTTGATCACGTGACCCGGGGACGCTGCAACTGTCCGTCATAAATACGAGTCAGTGGCCAAAGAGTCTGAATTTTGATCACGTGACCACGGGGACGCTGCAACTGTCCGTCATAAATACGAGTCAGTGGCCAAAGAGTCTGAATTTTGATGACTTGACTCGGGACGCTGCAACTGTCCGTCATAAATATGAGTCAGTGGCCAAAGAGTCTGAATTTTGATCACGTGACCCGGGGACGCTGCAACTGTCTGTCATAAATACGAGTAAGTGGCCGAAGCGCCTGAATTTTGATCACGTGACCCGGGGACGCTGCAAGGGTGGCAAGTGTGAAAATTGGCCCCAAGTCCCTTTTTTGTGACTTTGGTCGCTAAACGAGGACCCCTTGTGCAAGCCGAACAGGGGGTGGTGCCAAGCCCCCCTCTGGGTCATAGCCCGGACCCACCTGGCCAGGAGGATGCCCTGGTACTCCTCCAGCTGGCGCATGAAGCTGGGGTTGGGCTTGGTGACGCTACGACGCTCCTTGACGTACTCGTAGGCCCGGTCGAGGTTCCAGCCGTACTCCTTCATAGCGTAGGCGATGACGGTGGACGCCGAGCGGCTGACGCCCATCTTGCAGTGGACCAGGCACTTGGAGCCGTGCTTCCTAGGAGGGGACCAGCAGGAGGACGGTTGCAGGAGGAGAGGGACCCCCAGCCCCAGAAGGCAGCCCCCTCCCCGGCCTTGCACCGCCTCCGGTTCACAAGCAGGGGAACTCGGGCTGCTGCCCTCTGTCCGTCCGTCCACCCACCCACCTGCTGAACGGTCTGTCCATCTGCCTATCATCCATCCATCTCTCTCTCTCTCTGTCATCTATTTATCTTTTATCTATCAGCTATCTTTAATTTGTCCATCATTATCTATCAGCTCTGTCTGTCTATCTAGACAGTATCAATTATCTATCTATATCTACAGTGTCTGTCTGTCTGTATCTATCTAGTCTGTTTATCCATCTGTCTATCATCTATATCTCTTTTTCTATTTCTTATCTATATCTATCTATCTATCTATCTATCTATCTATCTATCTATCTATCTATCTATCTATCTATCTATCTATGTATCTATGTATCTATGTATCTATCTATCTATCTATTTATCTATCTATCATCTATTAGTCTGTCTGTCTATCTATCTATCTATCTATCTATTTATCTATCTATCATCTATTAGTCTGTCTATCTATCTATCTATCTATCTATCTATCTATCTCTATTTGTCTGTCTATCTATCTATATCTATCTATCTATCTATCTACCTATTAGTCAGTCAGTCAGTCTGTCTGTCTGTCTGTCTGTCTATCTATATCTATCTATATCTGTCTGTCTGTCTGTCTATCTATCTATCTCTATATCTATCTATCTATCTATCTATCTATCTATCTATCTATCTATCTATCTATCTATCTATCTATCTATCTATCTATCATCTATCTATGTCTGTCGTCTGTCTGTCTGTCTGTCTGTCTATCTCTATCTATCATCTACCTATTAGTCTGTCTGTCTGTCTATGTCTATGTCTATGTCTGTCTGTCTGTCTGTCTGTCTGTCTGTCTATCTATCTCTATCTATCATCTACCTATTAGTCTGTCTGTCTATGTCTATGTCTCTGTCTGTCTGTCTGTCTGTCTGTCTGTCTGTCTGTCTGTCTATCTATCTATCTATCTATCTATCTATCTATCTATCTATCTATCTATCTATCTATCTATCTATCTATCTATCTATCCAGTATCTATTATCTATCTATATCTATAGTTTTTGTCTATCTGTCTGTCTATCTATCTACAATATCTATCTATCCCAAAGATGCTTTTTCAGGAGGCATCAGTCAGTCAGTGTCAGTCAGTCAGTCAGAGTCTATCTATCTCTATCTCTATCTCTATCTCTTTCTCTTTCTCTATTTCTATTCTATCTACCTACCTACCTACCGTATCTCTCTCAATCTATTTTGCCATTTTGACCACGTTCTAGGGGCACCCCTGCTTACTGCACATACAGGCTTCCATGGCAGAGCCGTGTCTCCCAAAAGAGGGGGATCAGCACCCCCAGCCTTGGAGCACTAACTGGGAACGGCTTCTCTTAACCACCTTTAAGCTGACAAGGTTCTCAGAAAAACTCCATTTCCCTAACCAGATGGAATATCCTCCTTCCGCTCTTAATCACGGTTAAATGCTGATTTGATCCAGCCATTTGCTGGGCTTAAAGTTCCCCAGAATCTTTAATAGGGGTGGGCAACTTACGCCCCCCTCGGCGACCTGTGGACTTCAACTCCCAGAATTCCCGAGTCAGCCGGCAGGGCTCAGGAATTCTGGGGGTTGCTCCCGCCCTGCTCTTGAATTATTCTACGCCGCAAAATAAACGAAAGCCACCGCAGGCGGCCAAACGAATCGCAGAGAAAAGCAAGCCAGAAAAAAAGGGACTCACTTCGCTTTGGAGATGAATTTGTAGGTGTCGTTCCAGTAAGCCAGCAAATCCGTCGCCTCTTCGTCGTAAACTCGGATATTGTGGTATTCAAAAACTCCCGGGAAGAAATTGTCGATCTCACGAGTGACGTTCAGAATATACCGCACCCTGCGGGGAAATGGGACAAGGTTGTATTCTTTATTTATTTATTTATTATTTGAATTTATACCCCGCCCTTCTCCTTGCGGACTCAGGGCGGCTGACAGCCTAATAAAAACAACTACAACAATACCCCAAAAACTATCATTAAAACCAAGTTAAGATGAAATATTAAATTTGGCCTTATTAATTTTTAAAATTGGTTTTAAAACCCCACTAAAAATTTCCCCTTAGGCCAGTCCTGCTTGTTGGAAAAGCCATGTCTTACGGGCGCGGCGGAAGGAAGGGAGATCCGGGATCACCCGGATCTCTGGGGGTAGTTCGTTCCAGAGGGTGGGAGCTCCCACCGAGAAGTGGGAGATATCCTATTGTTGATATCCTGCCTTTTATTATCTTTACAAATAACGCAAGGGGGGGGATGACGACGAACCGTATCCAACGCACCTTCCGCCTCGTCTTTTCCCCACCACAAGAACCCTGTGAGGCGGGCCGGTCTGAGAGAGAGGGACTGGCTCAAAGTCCCCTTTCAAGGGTAAGAAGGGAGGATTAGAACTCAGAGCCTCCCGCTGTGTAGCCTGGCACCTTAATCCCTAGACCAAACTGGCTCTCTGCTCTCTCAAACTAATCCTTGATTTACAACAAAAGTTCGGATCAGAATTTCCGCCGCTAAGCAGGGCAGTTATTGAACGGGTCAGGCCTGGTTTTTATGACCTCTTTTGGCCAAGGAAAAAGCAAATCACTAGGAGACAGTGAGTTCTAGTCTCGTCCCTTGTTCGTTCGTTCGTTCTTTCTTTCTTTCTTTCTTTCTTTCTTTCTTTTTCTTTCTTTCTTTCTTTCCTTCCTTCCTTTTTCTTCCTTCCTTCCTTCTTTCTTTCTTTCTTTCTTTCTCTCTCTCTCTCTTTCCTTCCTTCCTTATTTTTCTTTCTTTCTTCCTTTTTCTTCGCTTCCTTTCTTCTTTCTTTCTTTTTTCTTTCTTTCTCTCTGTCTCTCTCTCTTTCCTTCCTTCCTTCTTTATTTTTTTCTTTCTTTCTTTTTTCTTTCTTTCTTTCTTTCTCTCTTTCTTTCTTTCTCTCTCTCTCTCTCTTCCTTCCTTCCTTCCTTCCTTCCCTCCCAAGCAATAGCACTTAGACTTATATACCGCTTCGCAGTGCTTTACAGCCCTCTCTAAGCAGTTTTACAGAGTCAGCCTATTTGCCCCCAACAATCTGGGTCCTCATTTTACCGACCTCGGAAGGACAGAAGGCTGAGTCAACCTTGAGCCAGTCAGTATCGAACTTCCTGGCTGTGGGCAGAGTCAGCCTGCAATGCTGGATTCTAATCACTGCGCCACCAGGGCTCTTGAGAATGACCTGTAGATTAATCTCCAGGAATACTGAAGGAAGTGTGTACTCATTACACACACACAAACACACACACACACACACACACCAGTGCTTTCTACACACACAGACACTCACATGAATGCATGCATGCCCAAACACACATACAAACGTCCTTCAGAGAGGTGGTAACAGCCAATAAAACCAACAATTTATTTAAATCACTGGATTAAACCAAATTAATGCAATTGAACCCAAACAACAAAACTTGTGTTTTGTGAGGACAATTTTCGTGGCCAACTCACCCTCTTGTCTGCAAGTCTTCCAGATTGGAGGCGTTCCACTCCGAACCCTGCACAAACAGGCGAGAAAGCAAAACACAACAGTCACACGTCAGCCAAGAGCGGAGCTGGTCATGCAAGTAATAGTAGTAGTAGTAGTAATAATAATAATAATAATAATAATAATAATAATAATAATAATAATAATAATAATAATAATAATAATAATAATAATAATTTAAAAAGCCATATATGAGAATATCAGGTACAAGAGATATTCAAAACCCCTGGCTAAGAATATTTGACTGTCGTTGTCTAGGACAGGGGCAGGCAACCTGGGCTCTTTTATGACTGGTGGACTTCAACTCCCAGAATTCCTCAGCCAGCCTGGCTCAGCTTGGAAACCTCTCCCTTTCCCCTCAGCATGGCTGGCTCAGGAATTCTGGGAGTTGAAGTCCACCAGTCATGAAGGGGCCATAGTTCCCCCATGCTGGCTCAGGAATTCTGGGAGTTAAGTCCACCAGTCATGAAGGGGCCAAAGTTCCCACATGCTGGCTCAGGAATTCTGGGAGTTGAAGTCCAAAAGTCATGAAGGGGGCCATAGTTCCTCCATGCTGGCTCAGGAATTCTGGGAGTTAAGTCCACCAGTCATGAAGGGGCCAAAGTTCCCACATGCTGGCTCAGGAATTCTGGGAGTTGAAGTCCAAAAGTCATGAAGGGGGCCATAGTTCCCCCACGCTGGCTCAGGAATTCTGGGAGTTGAAGTCCACCAGTCATGAAGGAGGCCATAGTTCCCCCATGCTGGCTCAGGAATTCTGGGAGTTGAAGTCCACGAGTCACAAAAGAGCCAAGGCTGCCTACCCCCAGTCTAAGCCAAGAGCGTCCATCTTTAGCCACTTTAAGGCTGGTGGACTTCAACTCCCAGAATTCCCTGCTGGCTGGGGAGTTCTGTCAGCATGGTTGGCTGGGGAATTCTGGGAGTTGAAGTCCACCGGTCTTAAAGTGGCCAAGGCTGGACACCCCAGATCTCCAAGCTGTACAATTGAATTGAATTTATTGTATACCGCCCTATCTCCCTTACGGGACTCAGGGCGGTGAACAGGCAATAATAAAAACCACGATAAATATACACAAGTTTCTGTTCTAAAATCAAATTAAATAACAGGCCTGCTCTAAAAGTACCCCATACAAACCCCCCACTAAAACATAATCAAACTACGCCAGGCCGGCCGCACGGAATAGATGGGCCTTCAGGGCTCGGCGAGTGTCCCCACTGCATGCAGGATGATAATCCAGGAATTTACTCAGACTTGGGAAGGGTTTAACGGGAAGCACACAGGAAGCAAGGAGTACATTGGTGTGAGATGGAAAACCCGAAGCCCCGGGCAAAGGGGGTGGTTCGTTCCCGTGGCAGGAAAGCCTCACCAGAAAGACGTGGTCGAAGATCTGCGTGGGGCTGTCCATCTGGCCCAGGATGATGATCATCTCGTTATCGATGAATTCCTTAAATTCTCGCAGGTTGCACGCCATCTGCATTTCCAGTTCTGTGCGGATCTGGGGAGGGAGGGGGAGACAGAGAGACAGAGAGAGAGAGAGAGAGAGAGACAGAGAGAGAAAGAGACACAGAAAGAGAGACAGAGACACACAGAGAGAAAGAGACAGACAGATAGATAGAGGGAGGGAGGGACAGAGAGAGAAAGAGAGAGACAGATAAAGAGAGAGACAGAGACAGAGAGAGACAGACAGACAGAGAGACAGAGACAAGAGAGAAAGACACAGATAAAGAGAGAGAGACAGACAGAGAGACAGAGAGAGAAAGACAGACAGGCAGAGAGAGGGAGGGACAGAGAGAAAAAGAGAGAGACAGAGAGAGAGAGAGACAGAGAGAGAGACAGAGAGAGAAAGAGACACAGAAAGAGAGACAGAGACACACAGAGAGAAAGAGACAGACAGATAGATAGAGGGAGGGAGGGAGGGACAGAGAGAGAAAGAGAGAGACAGATAAAGAGAGAGACAGACAGACAGAGAGACAGAGACAAGAGAGAAAGACACAGATAAAGAGAGAGAGACAGACAGAGAGACAGAGAGAGAAAGACAGACAGGCAGAGAGAGGGAGGGACAGAGAGAAAAAGAGAGAGA